CATACATTGTTAATTCAATATATATATATATATATATATATATATATATATGTAACACACTTAATTTATTTCTTATATATTAGTATTTTTTTAATTTGATCTCTACATATAGAGGATCAAATTAAAAGTGTATTGATTATGTAAGAATCAAATTAAGAATATATAGATTTTAAAAATTAAATCAATAACATTTACATGTATAAAGATCGATTTAATAATTTTTTACATATAAAAATTAAATTGACAATTTATAACATACATAAGGATTAAATTATAGATTTCACCTTTTTATTATATCTTTCTAAAATTAAGATGAATAAAAAAATGATAATAGAAAGATTTCACCTTTTTTATAAAATCTTTCTAAAATTATAAATTTCACCTTTTATATATATATATATATGTGATAATAAAAAGATGAATAAAAAATGAGTTATAAAATATTTTTTCTACCCATATATTAAGAATTAACCTTTTATGTTATTGTAATAATTGGTTAAATCACATAGTACATTGGTATATAACTATCAGTACAATATACTAATAATTTGCTTTAGATGAAGGAATTTTTTTTTAAAAGTATACTAATATATTATACAATAAAATTCAAAAGTATGATGTATCTAATAATTTGCTAGCGAAAATTTAAAAAAAAAAATGACAAAATGTGAATCATTGAAAACGTGGTCCCCTAAAGCAAGTTAGTATATAGCTATCAGTAGACTATGATTAGGCCTTAGAACGGCATATTTGAATTAATATGCAAAACAAAATAGGTTGAATTAGCAATGAAAAAAAAATGATGATCTATCTTCACCAAACCGTTATTTGAGATAGGCATAATTAAGATTTCCCATGTACTGAATTTTCCGTTGTTATTAATAATGCGTACCTATATCATTAAGTATGCTTTATTAGTTTTACCATTCTAACCTTAATCATTGTCAATTTTTTAATTGATCAAACTTAATTCATTTTTACTATAATTTATTCTATATTAAAAAATAGGATTCAAATTTACATCATATTAAAAAACACAAGTTATTATCACTTGTAACAAATTTTAAATCAATCTTTATATATATATATAATTTTTAATATTTTTAAAATATTTAGAATTTAATTTTAAAAATAAACATGAAAAATATAAATTGACAGATATAAAAATTAAAATAAAGATACAAATGATAAATTTAAAAATATATGAATTTAAAAATTGCATATATCGAAGTGACATCCTTATATGTTCAATAATATTTTTTTTCTATATGCAATCAAGGAAGTTAGAGGGAGTTATTTATTGAATATATACATCAAATCATTAGATATTATATTCTTCAATAATGTAGATATTAGTAAATAGTAAATCTCATTACCAATATTCACATTATTGAATTTTATAACTAATAATTTAATTTTATAACTAATAATTTGATGTATATATACAATAAATAGTCTCTTCCAATTTGCTTATTACTGGACATACAAGGATGTTATTTTTATATATGCATTTTTTAAATTCATATATCTTTTAATTTATCATTTTCATCTTTATTTTAATTTTTTATATCTTTCAATTTATCTTTTTCATATTTATTTTTTAAATATTTTAAAAATATTAGTAATTAAAAATATTTTTATCATAATATAATGTTATTTCTTTCTCTTAACTTTAATATGTAAAAATATTTATTTATTATAAATTTTAATTATATAAAATAATTTTTTATGTATCACTTTAGTTAAATTATCGGTGTTATTATAGAATTTTTATTTCTCTTTATTATGTACCTTTATTTATTCATTTAAAAAAAAATCTCCAGAGCACTTGGAAGAGAAACTTCTCAAGATTCAAAGGATAGAATTTTTAGAAATACAAATTGTGACCTTATTTTAGAAATACGAATCAGTTTTATGTCTTTATATTTTTACATTGATGAATTTGATCTTCAATCTTAAAAATATAAAAATTTAGATATTTTTTACTACACAAGAGGAAATAAAGAAAACAAGAAAAAAAGAAAGAAAACAACAAAATTAAACTATCACGTAAAACATGTCTAAAGAGTCTTCTAACATAATCTTCCCAAGAGACATCGGGTGTTCTTAAAACATAACAAAACTCTCATCTCTCCGAGTCCCATCCCAACATGTAAATTTAGATCTTATAATTTTCTTTTAAAAAAAAATTATGAATTCGTATAAAGAAATGACAAAATTTATGTACATTCTAAAATTTAAGACTAAATTCATTGAAATAAAAATAGAGTACATCTTTGACTCGATTAAAAGTATAGAAACTAAGTTTTTTTTTTTTTGTTCCATTACGAATTTCTTCCAAGACCCTAATTTATTATAATAGAGGCTAATGTCTTTTGCCGCTATAATGGTCTAACAAATTTTCACATGTAAAAAAAAATCAATATAAAATTGAAAAGATAATACATTATTGCTTAATTGATTAAGTATCTATAGGCAAAGGCAATGACTACTGACTCAGGATTGAAGAATGATAGTGATTTTGTGTCGCAGGCTTGCTCCAGCAACTGCAAACATGCCCACAAATTCTTCAACACTGTAAACTGTAAAGTAACACTGCCAGCCATTGATGGTCCACTGATGTTATGGGCCACGCCCGTGGCCCCATGTCTC